GTCATGAGATGCCCAAAGCTTTTTCGTTATTGGAAGGCAGTGGTGAACTTAATACTATTCATCAAACTCAAATATTGTTAGAATTCAAAGAGTGTTATTTATGGCTAGGAAACAGATCGCATTAAAATGGATATCACTCCATGCACCGACAGTAGAGGAATTGAAAGTGCACAATAACCATATGTTACCAGGGGAAAGATTGATATACCAACATAAGAGATGTATAGTAGACATGTGCGATTCGTTTCGTTACGAATCGAAATTCGTACGAATTTTCCTGAAATTCCGAATTTCGGAGCATCCGAAATCCGAATGGCAGTTTCCGAATTATATCCGAAATCCAAAATTCCGTTAACGAATTTCGGATCCGAATTTCTTTGAAACAGGAACTAATATTACCCCTGTAAATGAGGTTGAACAACATGACAAGATTTTTTTTAATCCGAGATACGGATCCGCTGCTGCTGATGCATTACAATACACAGTTACACACACAGGCAGGAAATACGAAATTCCGTTGACGTATTTTCGTTCCGTTACGAACATTCGTTATATTAAAGTTAAGAAGCAAAGTACATTTATATTGGAGTTGATGGTAATTTTTTTTTAAATACGAAATACGAAATTCGGGTACGGAATCCGTTAACTGAATTCGTATTTCGTTTTGGTTGACCAATCAGAGGTTCTCTTCTGCTGCTGAGAGTTGCATTACAATACAAGCAGTAAATATGAAATTCCGTTGACGTATTTTCGTTCCATTACGAACATTCGTTATATTGAAGGTAAAAAGCAAAGTACATTTATATTGGAGTTGATGGTAATTTTTTTTTAAATACGAAATACGAAATTCGGGTACGGAATCCGTTAACTGAATTCGTATTTCGTTTTGGTTGACCAATCAGAGGTTCTCTTCTGCTGCTGAGAGTTGCATTACAATACAAGCAGGAAATACGAAATTCCGTTGACGTATTTTCGTTCCGTTACGAACATTCGTTATATTGAAGTTAAAAAGCAAAATACCTTTGTTAATATATTGGAGTTGATTGATGATAGGTTTTTTTTAATACGAAATACGAAAAAAACAACTACCACTCCAATATTAACAAAGGTATTTTGCTTTTTAACTTCATCATAACGAATGTATCGTTGGACTTGGCAAGAAAATATTTATTTAGTTAGATTTATAATTATTTTTCTTTTTTCCTTCCTTATTTAATATTTTTTATGTTTTTTGGGGGAAGGATGGGAGAGGGAATTCAATGTATAAAAAACAAAAAGAGTTGTAATGAAGATTAATATAATATTTAGGAGAAAGAAAAGGAAAAAAAAGGGGAAGAAGAGAGTGGAGAGAGAAAGAAGAATCATATTATTTATAGAGTTAAAGAATGTGTTCTTTGATCACATTCAGATCCCTATAATACACCTTTTTTTTTAACTTTTGTAATAATATAATGTATCATTATTTTAATATAGGAAAGAGATAATATAAAACTGAGTATTAATGATTCACGTTGTTGATTATCTTTGTGTAAAACACACTAGTGTTCTAATGCCCAACTCTATGAAAGGCTGGGTTTGATCTGCTGAAATGTAAACACATCCCAATAGAACCTGCTGGTTCCAAAGAAAGCAATACAAAACATGTTCTTAGGACTGTCATCCACACTGAACCATTGAAGTAAATGGGCATCTGGTGACCTATATTTTTGTGTGCTTCATGACATGAAAAACAATCATACATTCACCTGTTTAATGTATTAACCAGCAATTCTGCATACAAATCGTGCAAACGTAAAAACAATTATGCTACGTAAAGTGAAGCAATGGTGGCTTTTTTATAACAAAGCTGACAGATTAAGCATAGTTCTGAAACACAACTGGGTACAAATACTTTACAGCAAATAACTGCCTCTAACGAAACAAAAACAAAATAGTTTTAGGTGGACCCACATCTGACCCTTTATTTGTCCTCTTGTCAAACTGTATGAAGCAGTGGGCACTCCATTTAACAGGTCCAACCTTGTTGTAAGATATAGATAGCTGTAGCTGGATAAAGCACATTAACGCAGTCAGCCAGCCATCTCCTCACTGTTGACATCATTATTATTATGCAATTACTACTATCTAGGATTGTAACTGAAGCTGATCGAGGCAGCACCTGCCATTTCACTGTGCTCACCTTACACTCTGCAGCTCCTCCCACCCACATCACAGATACCACTGGGGGGGAGGTGTGAAAATTTACGTGTGGACACAGATTGTGATTGTGAGCGTCCATGCAGTCATTACATGTCATTATCAGGGCGGGTGCTGCCACTCAGGGCCGGCCTTAGGCCTTTAGGCACCCTGTGCGAGAAAGCTTTACAGCGCCCCTCAGTGACCACACCCCTCAGTGGCCACACCCTTTAGTGGTAACACCCCCAGTAACCACACCCATTCATCACCCATATTTTACTACGCAAACTAGACAGCCCCCCCATTTCAAATTGCAAAAGTGAATGGCTATGGCACCCACCCACTGAGCAGAGGAGCGGAACTGAGAGGCAACTCTACCTCTAATGTCCGCTCCTCTACTCAGTCTGCTATTGGCTATTTCAAATTACATTATATCTATCTGTTGCCTGCAGAAGCTATCCAGCAGGAGAATGGGGCCACCCGCGAGGGGGGATGCGCCACAAGAGGGGAGCTGGGGAGAGCTGGTCTTACCTAGGGCACAAAATAGTCTAGCATTGGCCCTGATCATTATTATACACTCTGCTGGCCTAACTCTGCTGGTGCATTATGCAATAATGGGACCAGGATTGTGGGGGGTTGAATACCTCTATTCCCCAGAGTGTAAAATGAAAAACTGCATATCCTGCAATACAGGTATTCCTCACTTAACGACCGAGTTCCGTTCCTACGACCAGGTCATTAAACGAATTAGTCGTTAAGCGAGGAACTGTATACAGTACTGTACTGCATTAGTTCAGTACTGTAAAGCAGTCAAGAAAGTACAGCACTGAAGGCTGTGAGACGTCGCACTGCCGCTGCTACGTTCCCGCACGCATGGTTGGAGAGCTGGTCATAAGTGCGAGTGGTCATAAAACAGATAAGTCGTTAAGTGAGGACTGTCTGTACTAAATATGTTACATATTTGTTAGAATGCCCTTGTGGCCTACAGTATGTGGGGAGGACCACTAGATTTCTGAAGAAGAGAATAGAGGGACATGTAATAATATACGAAATGGTTACGAGAACTGTGTACAAACATTTAAAAAATGCCATCAGAAAGACCATTAGGCCTAAAATTTGTAGGGATAGAAAAGATAAAGAATTGGAGGGGTTCTAATTTGAATCAAGTTGGACTTTCGCTCTGGACACTCTTACCCCTAAAGGTCTCAATATCGAAATGTTAATGGCAGGCTTATTGTATGTAGTTAAATCTATGAACTGTATAGAGGAGGCTACAGAGAAATATTGCATGTATACTGATTGGGGATGGAGGTCCTGTAAGGGATGTACATCACCTTCAGCAAAGCCACTGCCTTTTGAAAACATCTGTGTGAGGAAAGGTGTAAAGATGGGGCTTGCTGATGTCACTCCGCATGCAGGACAAAAGGAATACCGAATACTTGCCAGCTTATTAAAACTGGATATTGTGGATATTTTTAAATAAAGAAACTTGTTTTGATTTGCTACACTGTGAGCAAACCGCTCATAGTCTAATTACATGGTGGCGATGATTTGTTAAATGATTTTTTGCGGAGTGTGGACGAACTGCTAGCAGTGGATTTTATATGCTGGATTTGATCGAGACAGCGCGGATACAGCGTTATATGACTCTCTGTTGCCAGAATGTCATGGGGATCTGGTGTGTTCTAGGAAAGCACAGAGGGAGAATCTCATATGCACACAACACTTATTGGAGTATCTTGGTCGATGTTGGATGGAGGAATATCAGTTGAGTATCACTTTTTGATGGACATTAAAATATCTGCCCAGTATGAAACACTATCACTTTTGGCACCGGGTTTATAAATGGATGCTAGATATATAAGTACTGTTTTACCTTTTTTCACATTGTGGTATATTGATGAGTGGGTACAGTGTTGTAGGAGTGTGTAAGTTGATTAAGAAATCACTACATTAGGCACATTATTTTTTAACTATTGAAAGGCGCAGTGAACTTTATATTTATGAGTGTTTGGATTCCAAAGGTATTTGTTGCTTTTTAATCAACTTTTTATGGAGTTGCTTGGAGTGTTCTGCCTTTATGAAGCCCTGCCATGATACTGACTTATCAGAAGCTAGACCTTCCGGATGCACATGCATATTACAATCACTTGAAACAAATTGACTACACATAGGTTAACTCCATTTAACTATTTGTATGGTTCTGGAAAACAACTGTCTGAAAAGTGTTTAAAGGAGGTGTATAATTAAGCAGTCATTTTGAGCACATGCTCCATTGACTTCAATGGGAATCTGTGTTTTGCACGATACCGCGTGGTCTGAGTCATCATAATTATTGATTACGACTATGTGACAGTTGACATCAAAGTTGCAGGACGGATGATTTTGTCCGATCAAGAGCATCAGGAGAAGGCCAGTTTCTGAATAGCATGATCCATACTATAATGTAGACATGTGCTAACTATGTGGTTAAGCTAACTATAATTTATAATTTATTTATATTATATCCTTAAGGTTTTCATTGCAATAGAGAAGTAAAACTGAACTGATCCATTAGTAGTAGAACTAATGTGCAGGAGCAGATTTCAGAATATTGGTGTAATGACGTAGCCTGAGAATTAGAACACCACAGTAATAATAACTTACACTATAGTACAAGGTTATGGTTAAATGTAATTAGGAATTCACACATATGCTTTTTCACTGCTTTCTTTTATTTGGCAAGCAACATTTTTGTTTTTTTTTACTTTGTTTCTGTACGTTCCTCCATCAACAATTTAAAGCACTAGTAGGTGTGGCTTCAATGACAGTCCAAAAAAAGAGTACAAGATGCAGACTGCAGGGAAAGAATGCCCACATTAAGGTACTTCAGGGAAGGCAAGCAATTATCATGGCTTCTCATTTCCAGCGTCCACCAACACGGCCTTTTCCTGCACCTTTCTTGCTGTATGTGTAAAGAAGACATCATCAGTTAAAGATAATAACTTTTGTTTTTTTACATATACTAGCAGATGTATGCCTATTAGAGAACAACCAATGTGTCTTAGCAAGCATGATATGAAGGAGATGGGTACAAGGGTTATGAAAGCAGGCAGTATGTACAGAAAAGGAGTTCAGAGAGTATGACAGAGTATACTGCAGTATGTGCAGAAGAAGAGTGCAAAAGTTTGACAGAGCGCACATCTGTGTGTCTGTAAAACACTCCAGGCCAAGACATTCCCAGCAAATCCTTACCTTTTTTCCCAACATCGAATGGCCCACATCAGAGTGGGAGGACTATAAGCCAGCGGTCAAACACCTGGGGGCCACTGAGTGGTTTTTTCTTCCATGTGGCAGGTTTAAACATGTCAAAATCAAAAATTAAATGAATACCGACCAGTAATGAAACTGAGGTATTCACACTGACTAGCAATGTAACAGCAGGTATTTACACTGACCACCACTCTAACGGATGTATTCAATACAGACCACCAATGTAACGGAGGTATTCTCACTGACCACCAATGTAATGGAGGTATTCACACATGGCATATACTAGGGATGTCCTGATGCCACTTTTTCAGGCCCAAGTACATCCCCTCATGTACTTGCCGATACCAATTACCGATACTTTTTCTTAAAGGGACAGGTGACTTTAAATGATCCATAGTACAACTACATGTTATGTACTATGGATCATGGTTTAACCTATTCATGTTAGCAGTAATAGTGAGTCCTCCCTCTGCTCTGTGGACTATGAGGAGCTCCACAGAATGCACATGACTGGACCCACTGCTACGGCCACAGTGCGGGCTCAGCAACTCCAAAGTCAGCAGCACAGGGGTGACTGGGATAGGATTCTTGCAAAACCTCAAAATATGTATTGCATGTATGTATACATGTTCTGATCTCTTACTGAGCATGAGGCCAGTCCATTCCTGTCACAATTCCCACTAAACACCTAAAGACTTTTGTTCACCAAGTTAAGAGCTAGGCTCTGTTCACATCTTTTGCGATGCATGGATGCAGGAGCCCGTACCATACCGAATGCTATCCTGCATCGTATGTTGCAATGTTATTTGTGCTGCGGTGCCAATATTTCATAATGGCACCCCAATGCACCATCGAATGTGTGTTGTATCACAGCACATTGCATGATATTCTGTTATATGCCATCACTGATTTCCAGAAAGGAGACATGGAAACTGCATGGCAGTTTAAGTGAGGGGATCGGTAATTTAACAAATGACAATTACAAAATGTAGTTTTCAAATGTATTTCATAACAAAAAGCGGATATCACTATTCGGTCTCGTTTATGCACATTATGGCGCAGGGGAGCGCATGTGCGGAAGCGGCGGCAGGACGTGCTGATGCGGCTCTGCCTCACCCACACGAACACCTCACGGATTGTCGGGATCTGTGGCAAGATGCCGACATCAGTTAGAAAGTAATCCCCCGGGGTTCAGTGGAGCAGACAGACAAGTCCAGAGCCAGTAATTGGGTAGGTATCAATGAATATTAACAGAAGCACAACTCGGGAGACCAAGGAGATACAAGGAGAGTGGCAAGTTTGTCATGCATGGAGTCCTGGACTTTGGAGTCTGGAGCCAGCTATACAAGCGACTGGATAAAAGGGAATGAATCCAAGAGGACAAGTCTGCATATCTGGGTAAGCTGGAGATATAAGTAATGTTTTCTGGTAATAGTCCCTGAAGTAAGAATATCGTTTAGAGCACCAGGTTCTATATTTGGGGTTGCCCTCAATCCACGTTTGTTGAAAGGAGTATAAAAAAAGCCAAGGCTATATGGAGAAAGCAAGGGGCTGGAAGTATGGCTGCTTTGATTTGAAAAAAAAAAAGACTGCCTATGAAGGGAGTGAGCTGTGTCCCTCAAAGTTCTCAGAGAAAAGGATTTTACGGCGAGCACAAAAATCCTATTTTCTCGAACTTTTTTGGAGACCCACAGCTTTATGGGGCATAAACAACCAAGGGATGTTCAAAAGCAGTCCAAATTGAGGGACCGCATGCTAAAAAACAGGTGAATCAGCCCAGTAAAAAAAAAAAACAACAACATAGGGAAAACAAGGGCAATTAAATAGCAGAACATTTCGGCCGAAACTAGCATTCTTAGAGGCAGATTCATTGACCTTGTAAAATGTAAAGAATGTGTGATTAGTAGACGGTCAGAGTTTTACAGAGCTGAGCCACAGATGCTTGATAACAAAAGAACAAGAAGTACTCATTGCTATAGGGGAGTCAGAGTTAACAGAAAAAGGAGGCACTTTATCCTCAAGTCATAGGCCTACACAACCTGTCAATTCTATTTAGAAATAGCGGACCTGGAAACCAGGGGTGGACTGGCAACAAATGGGGCCCACAGGGCAATATAAGAGTTGATGGGGCACCCTTGTGTCCAGCCCATATACAAGCCCCACCCACACAGACATTCTGGTGTTATAGAGATTTTTTTCTCCACACTTTTTTTCAAAATAGCAGGTCTATTCGCTAAAAGGTGAATTGCAGGGGAATTGGTAGAAATTTACAAAACTTAGACCAAAACAAGAAATTTCGAAAGTGAGCTAAATGGTAGAATTTTGGGAATTGACAGTAAAACTGAATAATCCAGAACACTGGAGTGGGGATTTGGGTGAATATCACACGTGTGGTATGCAAACCCCTGTGCCCCCCCCCCCTTTCTGCTCCGGTGCATGTGGTATGGCCCCTGTATGACCAGAACCAATGATTGGCAGACCTCACACCAGAATAAATGAACGGCATATTTCACGTCAGAATAAATACATGGCAGACCTCATGCCAGAATAAATGCACGGCAGTTCTCAGACTAGAATAAAAGCATGGCAGGCCTCACACCAGAATACATGCACGCCAGACCTCACACTAGAATAAATGCACTGCAGTCCTTAGACCAGAATAAATGCACGGCAGTCTTCACACCAGAATAAATGCACGGCAGAGCACATGGTAGTGCTCAGACCAGAATAAATGCACTGCAGTCCTTAGACCAGAATAAATGCACGACGGACCTCACACCAGAAAAAATGCACGGCAGACTTCACACCAGAATAAATGCTTTTTTGAGTATTTTAAAAAAAAATTGTTGTTCTAAGTCAAAATCTGTTAGTTTACAGCAGCTTAAAAAAGCTGTGCTCAACAGTGCTACAATATACGGTATGTGCTAATTGTTGGAATGTAAAACATTTTCATGTACTAAAACTGCCGAACATCTATCTTCAAATATTGAATCTAAGATTGCATGGGTCATCAAAGAAGTCAGCTGTGTTTGAGAAGTGCTGGAGGCCATTCCACCAGGAGGTATGGCATGGGAAGTGATGAAGGTGAGATTCCTTCATCTGGACAGGACGTCATGCATTGCACCCTGTGGTGTTGATGGGGGTTATATGCGCATTGGGAAGATACCCTCAAGATATCCTGCACTGCATATGAAGGTGGCTGTCCATTATCGAAGGATCAAAGGACACGGTGTTGACCTAGGCTGAGGAATGACCTGCAGTACACTGGTGCCCCCTGCTGGAGGACTACAGTGCATGCCGACAAATATGAAGAAAGATGCGGATTGGCCGAAAGACCTATAATGGATTGAAAGGGTTGACACGATACATGTACGTGTATGAATGGGTCCTGTTTACCATAAAAGTCAGTGCTCTCTCTCTCTCTGAGCAAAGCCAAGACACAGAACCAGAGGACGGACTTGCTGCGTAAAGTATTCCCTTTGCTGTCTTATTGTACTTTTGTGTCTATTTTATCTTTTATTATGTTTATAGTTCTGTATAAATAAATAAGACCATTGCTTCTTTTAACCATTGTGTTGTTATCATTGGAAGCAGAGAATAGCAAGTTAGCTTATTTCAGGAAACAACGGCAAGTTAGATGTTACACTAATAATCACTGGTTCCCAATCCCAATAGACACATTTTCTTCATTATTGGCACATATCTGACACCCGCCTCCTCACCATCTCAAGGCTCTTCTCACTTGGATCTAGCCGCACTGAAGAGTTCAAAGGCCAGGAACAGGGCCAAACCTTGGGAACGAGGGAGCCGAGTCAGTGAGGAGCAGCACAAGACAGTCTACGCCCACCCGCCACTGCCAAACCAGGTGACACAGCTGTGTTAAGGCAGCAATGGTAGGCCTGGGGGGACACATGCTGCACCATACATCCATGCGGGCTGGAAGTGAAAGGGCTGGGGGGGGAATCAGTGATGGGCCCCGTCATGGCCGCGGGCCCTCGGGCAGTGCCCAAATGCCCGAACGGTCTGTCCCCCCTGGCCCAGAGGTAAACTCTGATGGCCCTCACTTTACTTCCATTCCCCTAGGCAGACTAAGGCGTGGGGGTACGAGACTGGGTAGGGGAAGAACATAAATATCCCAGGTTGGTTCATCGGATGTCTTATAAGGAAGTGGGATGTAAATACTAACATTGTTAAGTTTGTAGATGCATGAAGTGCAAGGCAGGGGCTGAGTGAAGCAAAGAGTCAGTCTAGAACTCAAGAGATTTGTGAGTGGGAATGCACACACTGAGTAGGATAAAGACATCGGATGTGCGGTTTATGTATATGTCTCTGTGGGGTTTTTTTGGGGGGAGGGTTCCTTCTGCTTTCCAGGTAACACAATATCCTTACTAAAGTAAAAGCAGCAACCAAAAAGGAGTCCTTGGCTTCAAAAGAACCTTGTTTCTTTTGGGCTCTTTTAGGGCTCTTTTAGGATAATGCTGATTACTCAAAGACCCTTCTAGCCAAAGTGATGGCCTCAAGAAAGGTTACCTTATGGAAAACAAAGTCAAGGAAATGTTAAATATAGGTTTAGTTGGGGGTCGATTAATATGACTATACTAGATTCAAATGCCACAGTTGGAGTAGGGTCAAACAGGAGAAGCAATGTGTGCAACCCTTTGAATGTAAGTACCAACCAACAAATTATTTACAAGGGGACATTATAAAAGAAGGGCATACACCTGACTCCTAATGGTGCTAAGGGCTAAATGTTGCTCTACCTCTTACTAAAGGAAGAAAAGGCACATCCCACCGAAAAAGCACATGGGAAAAACCCCAAAAAATGAATCTAGTGAAAGTAAGCTTTGATATGCGGGAAGTCGAGTTTTGTGCTTTAAAGGAGAACTATGAGGTGAGTGCTTTTCACTCACCTCATAGTTCTAGCCGACCTGTGACAATGAGACTGTCACAGGTCGGCTCAGTAGATCGGGAGGTGAGCGAACACATACCGGCATTCGCTCACCTCTCGATCCTGTCACGACTCTCTGCCGTGATAGGGGAGGCTGGATTCCCCCCTCCCCGCTCCAATACACCAGCGCTGACTGGCGGAACGGACAGGGAGGGGGCGGGTACAGCTGGCTCTGCCTCTAGATAGGCAGAGCCAGCTGTCAGTCACGCAGCTGGGCGGATCCCGGCATAAGCTCACGGTATACTGCGGCGTCTCAGTATACCGCGAGCTACAGCTACAGCTCGCGGTATACTGAGCCTAGGGTGACGGGAGGACGCTAGTTTGTGTCCTCCCGTTACCCTAAGGAGAACTATGGGGAAAAGCCTTAACCCCATAGTTCTCCTTTAAGCATGGTCAGGATAACTGAATCTGCCATTCCCCAGTCTCTCAGAACCTGTTTTTCAACAGCCAGACTGTTAAATCCTGCGGCTGAGGAGCAGGGTGGAAGATCAGTTCTTGGGACAACAGACCTGTCCAAACAAGTAGAGGCAATGGGAGCATCAGTTAACAGGCAAGCGAGGTCAGCATACCACACTCTCTGAAGTCAATCTGGAGCAATGTGAAGGACTGGAATGCTCTTGCTTTCAATCCTTCAAAGGGAAAAGTTTCAGTGGAGGAAAGACATGAACAGGGCCGGCCTTAGGGGTGTGCGAGCAGTGCGGCCGCACAAATGAATAAGGGCATACTGATCCGACGGCACTATTAGGGGCTAACAGAGTTGTGGGTCCAGGAACTGGAGCATGATGATAAGGAATGAAGTTTTGATGCAGTAAGTCGACCAGTGCGTATCAATGGTAAGTGAGTACTTTTGCTCCCTGTTGCAACCTTAATTTCTCCCACGAAGGGTAGCTGTAACAAAGCACACTGTTGCTTCACTAACCAGCACTTAAGCAGGTGCCCTGTGGGTATGGACAGAAGAAAAAGTTACTTAACACCTGGGCCAGCATCCAGCACTGCGTCACACATAAACGTCTACGCATAAAGTCTAGTCATAGGGGTGCACAGCGTATAGCATTAGGGAGCAAAATATATACACAGGATTTCCATCTCTTCAACTGTCCCTTACCACTTTCAGCAGGGGTGCACCCGTTTGGCCACCTGATTGGATGGGAGGTCTGGAAAGCCACAGCCACGCTCACTCACAACTTGCCAGGCACAGTGGACTGTGGCTGTTATGTGAGGAATGAAAGTGGCAAGTGTTGCACTATGGATTGCCATCTAAATCTCCAAGATAATAAGATATAGTCTGACAAGTAGGTGCACAGGTGAGTGAAGGAATTCCATCCACACACCTCATACAGCCACAAATGCCTAGTTGGCGTCAGATAAACTGGCAGAGATGAATCTACCAGTAACTGTTAAGAAAATAAAATTCTTCCAGTTTAAGTGAAAAATATAACCGAGATTAAGGAGACATCCATTCTTAGGACACTAAGCATAAGCTGTGAGGTTGGAGGGGTTATAGCCTCTAGGGAGATGTCCTATCGTTTCTATGTGCCTAGAGTCTATTTCTTTTGTAGACAGCAGCCCTTGGTTGCTTATGCCCGAAGCTGTGCCCCTCAATGCATGCCTGCGGCCAATACATTTTCTGATTGGGCAGTAATGAATGCCAGTACATTATAATCAATGAACTTGCAAAATGTATATGCTCTATAAGGAGGCTGAAACTACTTACAACTTCTGTGCATGGCTGATGCGATTGTACAGGACATTAATCTAGAAGAGAAGGATGAAAGCTGAGTATTCTCGAACTGCACATCTTATACGTTTATACTGTATTTATATATGTGGATATTGATCATACCTCATATCGTTGAGTTTTCAGTTTCTCCATGAGATCAAACTTCTCTGATTCCAGCTGAGACATCCAGTCTGTCAGTTCCTTAGCCTTTTCCCTGTCATTTAAAATAAGACATTGTTGTAAGCTGCACAGTAGCAACATTTATTAAAGCTTTTTTACTTTTGTCTCTTAATTTTTTTTTTTGAGTATTTAAAAACCATCTGCAGTCTTGAAATTGTATGTATAGCCATTTTTTTAGTTTTGGATAGAGTAGGGAAGGGTTCTAACCCTGGCAGTTTTTTTTTTGTTTTTTTTTTGCGAAACGGTGCAAATGTTAACATACACGCGGATTCCACACGTTTGTGGCTGGAACCTGCGGAATCCACCCATAAAATTGCGCTTAGATGATTGTGGAACCCCACAATAGTCTGAACAATGGACATTGCAATGCATTTTTTTATGTGTAGCGCGGTTCCGCGTGTATTCCTATGGTCGAAAAAGCGTGGAAAAACAATCATGTGAATGAACCCTTAGGGAAATCTTAATTTACTTCCTGTACAGAGATGCAACATTAAGTCAGTTGAAATCTCCAAAAGTGAAGGGAATTCCCTTCTTGGGCAGTTTTCCCTGGATCACGTATCCCCATTAGAAGATTTCCCCTCGCCTCCTGTTCTGAGGATAATACCAGAATTTTAAATTTTCCCTCACTTTCTGTTTAGGTGACAATACAACAGTACAAACTACAGAGGGTTAATCTCCCCAATGGGGACTCAGACAGCAATAAAAACATGACAGAATGTCTAACCCCTTCCCACTCTATTTTTTTTAAAAACAGAGCTAAGGCTGTACTAGGCAAAGATTTTAGAAAAATCAAATCCATATACATTTATTATACTTTTTAAATGTATTTTTTTGGCCATAGATAACAGTGGCTTTAAATTAATGAGAACTTTGGGGTAACCTTTATTTCCCATAGTTCTCTTTAGGGTCATGGGAGGACATACTAATGACATACATGAGTCTGCTATATGCTGAGAGTGCCACAACTGGGGCAGATCCCGAAAATACTGCTGAGATCCACCTGCTGATTGACAGCGGGCTCTGTCTGTCTAGAGGCAGAGCCAGCTTTGCCCAACCAACCCCCCATCTGTTCCTCCAGTTAGCGCTGGAGGATTGGAGAGGGGAGGGGGGAAATCCTAGTGGGGAGCGGTGACTAACAGTCACCGCTCTCTGCAGGGAGTTGATTGAGAAGTTAGTGAGCGGCGGTATGTTATTGTTCACTCCCCAATCAGTAGCGCTGATGTGTGACAGTTTCAGTGTCACACGTCGGCTCCAAGTTATTCACTCACCCCATGGTTCTCTTTTAAATCATCTTTCTTTTAGCAGCAGACAGGGCTATGCACTGGGAAAATTCCACTGAGTGATTTCAGGAGTCTTGATGACAGGAATCAGAATTCTGAGGTCTGCCATGCATTGTTTCTGGTCCGCGATCTGCAGTGCATTGGTTCTGATCTGCAGTGCATTGGTTCTGGTTTGAGGTTTGCTGTGTATTGGCTCTGGTTTGCAGTCTACTGTAGATTGGTTCTGGTCTGAGTTCTGCCATGTATTGGTTCTGGTCTACGGTTTGCCATGCACTGGTGCTGCTCTGAGGTCTGTCGTGCTTTGGTTCTAGTCTGCGGTCTGCCAGAGTAAAGTTATTACTAAAGTCTGACTTGCATTGGTGCTGGTCTGGAGATTGCCATGCATTGGTGCTGGTCTGAGGGTTGCCCTGCATTAATTCTGGACATGGGGTGACTGACCATTTGGGGGCCTTAACGCACACACTGGAGCTGAGGGGCGGAGATTTACAAACCGCACGTGCAATATGTGCCCAAAACCTGCTCCAGCCCTAGATTATTCAGTTCCCCTATCAACTCTCCTACTAATTCTCCAATTCACCCATGATAACTGGCAGAATTGAAGAATTTAGGTCAAAATAGCCAAATCAAAAAAAATTCTGAAATTAAGCTTGCTTTAAAAATCGTCTATATTGTTCTAGATTTATAAAAATCTCTTACCAATTCCCCAGCAAAGCCCCTTGTGCTCTGCCCATATACAAGCCCCACTCGTGTATACATTCTTCTGTTACAGAAATTATTTTTCCACTCTATTTTCACATAGGTCTATTCACTAAAAGGTTATTGGAGCTGAAAGACATTTGTATTTCAGTCCTAGTCCTGAGGTTTACATTTAGTTCTTTTACATCTCTTTCTGGCAGGGCAGGATACCTGATTTTTCTTTGCTGCAAATAAGTAACAAACAAGTCTTGTTCCTCTGTATTCCTGTATGTTGGCAATGAAAGTTGAAGAAGGAGATTGCTAAGCTCATCTTTCTATCATTCTGTTTTCTCTACCTATTTGCATGAGCCCTGGTACTGCAGCACAAACAGCTATATTTTTATGCACCCACGTGCTACCACCTGATAACCCATAAACCATTGTGCGTTATGAAATTAGGGTTGTATAGATACCAGACGTACCTCCCTTAGAAGTCTTATTCCGTGGATGACTTCCACAGCAGCCAGCAGCAGCCAGCAGGAGCCTGGTGAGTGTATCTGCCACCACCAGTTGCTTCCCCGGCACATGCACTACCCGAACATTAAATCTAAGTAGCCTCATAAGAAGTCTCTGGCTTCTCAGTGGTGCCTTGTCAATATCACTTATCAATGGAACCAATGGTTTGTGGTCGGTCTCCAGACTGAAATCTTCCAAACCCACGAGATAGCGTGGGAAACGCTCACAGGCCCAAAGGAGTATCTGCTAAAATCCACTGGAAGCATCAAGTGTGGAAAAGAATTTAGCCCCTGACAACTTTGGTTCCAATGTCGGCAGTACAAATCTCTTTACACCCTCATTCAGACATTTTTATTCCATACAAATGCAAGCTTTCCCGTCACGACCGGCACGACGGGAGCACACCAGTCAGTTGCTTCCTCAACTTCCTCAATAACACTCATACTCTTTATTCTCAGGAGTTCGACTTCCACCTATGGCATAAGTGGAAATGGAATCCCACGAGGTGTAGCGATACTGTATGGGATTGCATTCGCCTTAAGCATTATGTGGACTGGCTCACAATTTAGCAGGCCCAGATGTCCTCCGTGATCTAATTTACTCATACAACAAGGCCCAGACTGCAGGCTGTTTTCCTGCTCAAAACGCACGCCTACTTAGTAATATAATGTATTGCTGGGACTTGTAGTCCTGCATAGTTGGTGCTATTCTGCGTTGCTGTATAATCATTATACAGCAATGCAGAATAGCACCAGCTATGCAGGACTACAAGTCCCAGACTGTGTATATACAATGTGTATATATATATATATATATATATATATATTGTGTACATATATATACACATATGTAACATTTCACAACTCCCTTCCTTATATAGTTAGAATTACTCCAGTAAATGCTATTCTACAAAACAGGAAATAGGTTTGTTTGTAAGAAAAAAATGATTTTAGTTGTAACACGTGCTATGAATTCTTTTTTTCTAGATGTAGTTGGAGATCCTGCTGAGATGTATAGCTCTGATAGTGTAGTGTAGTGATAGGTGATAGTGTACTGTGACTTTATAGATGTACATGCATATAGTAACTACCTCAGCTGATTTTCATTCATGTAATCAATACACAAAGGTTTGTGCCTCTCCGCCAGTATTTTTCTCTTCATTTCACGTCCTGTCTGTCTCTTTCCTCTTCTCTGCTCTGCCTGTGAAACAATGACATTCATAAAAGGCATTTAGAAACAAAGTGAAACTGTGTTTTTCCCATGCAGTTTTAACCCCTAGCTCAAGCAGCACATTTATTATTTGTTCCTTGGCTGCAATTAGTTTCTGGGAGCAAAGAAAATACTTCCAGGTAAGGGGGAGCATGTGACACATGCCACGTTACACACTGGGCCAATAACCAAGCACCAGTGCACAGACATGTGGAGAGTTCATAGCCCTGTGTACGCTAAGCCTAGAGTGTCTCCAAACTTTTTCAGGGCAACTTCTCCTGCTCCTGGCAACTGAACAGAGAGACAGGTAAGTGAAAGAAAAGGCAGTACATGCCGTTAATAAGGAGAAGGAGAAAGTAAACCTGCTGCTTTGTTCTGTGTAGCCAAAGCACATAATCACTTTTAAAAGGCATTTCACAATAAGAAACAATAAGATACTGGACATTAAGCACAAAGGAAAAACAGTATTTTTTGTACCCACCGTAAAATCCTTTTCTTTACATTAATTGAAGGACACTGTGGAGATCTTGATCTTTACACTGATGGGTTTTACCACCATTTTTAGGAGTAGGACTTGGCTTAGCAGTAGGACTAGGCTGCCCCCAGAGCCAAAAGGAGCTTGGCTCGGTGGGCAGCTCCTGCTGGTGGCCACAACCCCATCCAAGGCAGTTGAGTTAGGACACAAAGGAGTGGAGCTAAGGCACAAAAAGACCCCCACCACCCAAAAAAAAAGGGTGGGTGCTGTGTCCTTCGATGAGTGCAGAGAAAATAATTTTACAAGTAGATACAAAAAAATCCTATTTTGTCTTTTGATCATTGAAGGACACAGTGGAAATCTTGATGTCTGTACCGATGGGACGTCTCAAAGCAGTATCCACCAAGGGGGGAACAAAATCCATGCCTTGACGACTGAGATATACCACTTCCAATTGTCTACCTCAGGAATAAAGGGGTTAAATACTGAATTTAATCTACGAGTGTTCCTATGAAGAAAATAGATAGTATTGGGAATCATTCTCAATACATGCTCATTGATCAAAATCGTTAAGCTTGTGAAATTGAATCTATTAGACAAATATAATTTGAGCTACTATTGTCTTTTTTATTTTTTTAAGAAAAGGGGGGAAAAAATCCACCCATTCATATATGCTAACACCGGTGATAGACTGGCAGGGATTAACAGATGAGGAAACAAAGCCTTTAAAAGACATACCTTCAAGTCCCTGATTACATTCTGACGAAGCCCCAGATTAGAAGGGGCGAAACGCGTCAATGTTTCCAGCCTGGCAGGCCCCCTATCATCCATGTGAGAACTTGAGGAAATGCTGAATTGAACTCATAATTTTATGGTAGCGGTTTTGTGAAAGACGTTAAAGGCGTCCAAACCGCATTTGTAAATGGGAAAGCCGCAAGAACCGATTGGAGATCGGGAGGTCAGGTAATATACCTATCGCTACTCTTCAACAAACACTCGGTCTAACTACCAAAAAGCCAGTTGAGGATTTGTACCTGTTGATGAAAACGGTGTGTGACAACAAGCAATGTTATTTTTCTGTGCGGAACAGGATTAACCATCAATTTCTACTGCACATACTTGAGTTTCTACCAAGTAAACAGATCGGGGGTTATTGTACCTAAATGATCATATATCAAAAGTGTTATCAAACAAAACAGGTTGTGATTATTGAAAAGCAATTACCAGCAGCATTGGATTTTACTATCCACGTTTGAACTAGCTACATGTATGGTGTTGTCTGGTAGCAATGAAGACCTTTTTTGATCTTGAGTGGAAAGCAACTGCCAACTTCCAACTTCATTGATAACTTGTATCTTTATTACCACAAGAAATACATCAGCCACTGTGTCCAATACTGACTTCCAATCTTTTGGATCATACAGTGAAGCACATGTTAATTGTAGAGATACATTATATCCACATTTTGAGTGAGCTTCAAAAGGAGTGTGCGGACAAGTTCATCTGTGTCCTCAACGTCATTAATTTAAAGTACAGCCTGTTGTGCCGCTATCATCCTTATAGTTCAGCCCATACTTCGGGATATCTCTGAGGGTGTTTTGAGCGGGGCCCTGCAGGCATGTTTGTGTCTGTGTGTTGAAAGAAGTGACAACGTTGTCAATTTTAAAATGGTGATTTCGGGAAGTGGTGCTATAGTTATTAGGAATGCACTGATATTATCGGCCGAAAATGGCACGTTTGGCAAAATGCCAAACATGCCATTTTCTGACCGATGCAGCTGTGCATCCGTGTTTTCTCTCCTTCCCACTGGGAGCTGCTCTGTGTCCCAGCGGGAGGAGAGTATAACGCACAGGCAAGTATTTGTAATGAATTGGATCTCAGCTACGGATCAATGAACCAGCTTGATTATTTATTAACAGTGTGTGGTATGTAACACTATTCCTAATACATGAAGATAATTAGAATGTTCATATCATTTAAATGGTTGGCAACATGCGTTGCTGAGGGAGGCCACAGTCTATAGCAAGTTGAGGAAATCTTGGGGAAGTTACTTCACTTCTTGAGATTCTCATAAAAACAATAATAGTCAATGGTAAAATAATAATACTTGCAGTTTAGTAGCTATGTAGGGTGTCCTTGGGAGCCTTCTGGATGCAACGCAGTCTGTGAGCAATTTTGTAAGTAGGATGCATGCAAGTTGCAGAGACTCCTGCAAGTCAGAATAACTTGCTATGGTCTGAACAGGGTTAACATCCAGGTGTGATGAGCTTGATCATTATACTTGGTAGAGTTGAGGGAAGCAAGGGTTAACAAAGTATTCTTGTGGTCCATAATTCTTCCACTTAATTAAGTACTGTAACTGGTTTCTAAATAATCTGGAATCCAGTATGGTCTCCACTTCGTACTCTTCTTGTACTTCAACTAAAACTGGAGGAGGAGGTAACGGTACTCGGTTTGGGAAGGTATTTGGTTTGTACGGCTTTAATAAGGAGATGTGAAATGTGGGATTAATTTTAAGTTCTTGGGGTAAGGTCAAGCGAACAGCTGATTGATTAATAATACATTGGAATTGGGAATGGCCCAATAAAAAGACTACTGAACTTCCTGAATGGTGTTTTGAGGTTTAGGTTCTTAGTAGAAAGCCAAACTAAGTCTCCTGTATTATACAGAGGTGCTGTTCTTCTACGTAGGTCGTAGTAGTGTTTTTGTCTATGTTGGGCCTTCTCAATGTTTTCTTTTAAGATTGGAATTACTTCTTGTATTTTTTGTACATAGTTTTCAGTTGCAGGATTATTGGTAGGTAACATTTGAGTAGGTATGAACGAAGGATGGAACCCATAATTTGAGAAAAAAGGTGTTTGGTTTGTGGTGCAGCTAACTGAGTTATTGTATGAGAATTCTGCCATCGGAAGTAACTCATTCTAGTTATCTTGTAAGTACGTGCAATAACATCTTAGGTACTGTTCCAAACATCTGTTGATTCTTTCAGTCTGTCCATTGGTTTGGGGCTGACATGCACTGGAGCGACGATTTAATAATTTAATAACGTTGGCAACAAAAACTTCCGCAGTTTCTTCCGAAGTGGGTAATTTCGTTAAAGGAATGAAGTGTGCCATTTTAGTTAGAATGTCAACTGCTACAAAGATAGTGTTATACCCTCCCGCAGGGGGCAGATCTACTATGAAATCCATTGACACAGCTTCCCAGGGCTTTTCGGGAATAGGTAAGTTGATCAAAAGACCGAAAGAGGGTCTTGACTCATGTTTAGCACGTGCACATGTTTCACAAGAGTTGACATTTTGAACAGTCTCACTCATCTGGGGCCACAAAAATTGGCATCGGAGGAGATGTAGCGTCTTTGTAATTCCCGGATGGCCTGCCAAAGGAACATCATGTGTAAGTTGAAGAAATCCTACTGCTAAATGGGATGCATCAACTTCTAGAGTATACTGAAGTTGATGATCTGGAAGTCTGAGGATGGGAGCAGTAGTGAAGCGGATCTTCAGTTCTTCAAATGCTTCCTGGGCTTCATTATTCCAGGTAAATTTTAAGTTGGAACTTGTTAGTCTGGTTAAGGGCTTGACTACATAGGAGAAGTTTTTTATGAATTTCCTGTAGAAGTTGGAAAAGCCTAAAAAACGCTGAAGTGCCTTTCTCGTCTGTGGTACTGGCCAATTTAGTATACAATCAATCTTGTTTTGATCCATCTGGAGACCATTGTTGGACACGATGTATCCAAGGAAAGAGATGGAGGTGGTCTCAAAAGTGCATTTTTCGAGTTTGGCATAGAGATTGTGTACACGCAGTCTGGAAAGAACCTATCTGACATGTGATGGTCCTCTAAGTTATTTGAATACATGAGGATGTCATCTAAGTATACAACAACACAGACATCAAAGAGGTCTCTGAAAATATCATTTATGAATGCTTGGAATGTGGCTGGGGCGTTACAAAGGCCGAATGGCATCACCAGGTATTCATAGAGACCGTAACGGGTCTTCCATTAGTCACCCTCTCTAATGCGAATGAGATTGTACGCACCCTTTAAATCTAGTTTGGTGAAGATTTTTGCAGATTGGTATCTTTCTAATTATTCAGGTATAAGCAGAAGAGGATATCTATTTTTTTACAGTTATTTTGTTTAATTCCTTGTAGTCGATGATGGTTCTTAAGCTTTTATCCTTATTACGCACAAAAAACATGCCTGCTCCAGCGGGTGAAGTGGATGGTCTAATGAATCCTTTTTTAAGATTCTCATCTAGGCATTCTTTAAGGAAAACAAGTTCAGGTTGTGAGAGCCCAAATGGTATTTTACTGTTATTAAATAGATCAATGGGACAATCATATGAGCGGTGAGGCGGAAGTGTATCAGCATCTTTTTTACTGAACACATCTTCGAAATCTTGATAATGAATTGGAATTTGTTTAGTGTCTTCTTGCAGAACAGGAGAGTTAGTGTGTAACAAAGAAGTAGTGAGATTGCATGTAGCTAGGCAAAATTGTGAGTTGAAACTCA